GGATGAGAAAAATGCTTCTGTAATAAAGATACCTAACTGTTGAATGCCTCACTCATTTACTTGTCTGGACTGTATACAGTACCATTATTATGAGGCCTTCCTACCTCCAAAGTAAAAAGTCATGCAACCTTTCCATGATTGCTGCTGTAATCAGTGACAGCTGAAATTATATTTGAGTGCCGATTCCTTCCTTTAATTGCATGAGATGAACAGTTGTAGAGTGATGAACAGTTGTAGAGCTGTTACCACCTTCACTGCAGTGCCAATACTGGTGGCATTTTAGCTATCCAGCAAAATACTGTTCTTCAACCAGTGAATGCTCTATCTACTTCTCTATAGCACCCCCCCCCCTCCCCAACCCTGTCAGTCCTCTACACCTTGCAGCCTCAATATGAGAGATGATTCCTCATATTCCTGTTAGTGCCCTGCCTTGATCAGGAATTAAGAGGTTTACTATCTGAAAGAGATGGCATATAATATGGACAGGCTCTACTTCATCTTTGTCTACTCCATATTCTCCTGCTCTAGAGCAAAAATTTCCAGACCTTTGTTTTGGACACCTACAAAAGAACACTTCCCTCTATCTCTTCAGCTGCTAGTCCTTCCCAGAGCTCTTGTGCTCCCAGTAATGAAGTTGAGGTAGAGATCTGAATGATTTTGCCTTCCATCAGCACTCAACAAAGGGAGGCACACCCTGCCTCTGCCTCTGGTGTGTCAAAAGCAATAGTTCAATTGCTTGTTGTACTGTTTTATAATCTCCTCCTGTCTGTTGCTCTCACCACTCCAAGTTCTAAATGACGTTCACAGTGTCTTGGAGATGTGGACACTAAAGAGCATCATTGCTGTTATTAGAGACTTTTGCCCAGGCACCCTCACAAACATGACCTGTCAAAGCAGTCTCAGAGCATAGATGTCACATTGTAAATGTACAAAGGGCAGGTGTACAGTATAGTGAGCAACAGTGTAGCAACCCTTTGATAATATATCAACTGATTTATTTTTGTTTTTCTATGTTAGGAGTACAGTACTGCAATTTTTATGACTACAAAATTAATATGCAGATTTTTAAGAAAAGTAAAGTCAAAATCTGAAAAATAAGATTGTCAGTATTATAAATATTATATATGAAAAAGTGAGAAGTTGGGTATTTAATGTCTGCTTCTGAGGGCCTTTGGAGGCCCAATTTTTTTAAATTTTTATTAACACATCAGCCTTTTCCCACCAAGGCATGGTGACCTGAAAAAGATGAAACACTTTCATCATTCACTCCTTCACTATCTTGCCAGAGGTGTGCCTACAATACAGTTAAAAGAACTGCAACATATCAACACCCCTCTTCCTGGAGGCCCCAATTTTTTTTTTTAATATGATGGCTGTTTCTCACCAAGGCAGGGTGACCCAAAAAGAAAGAAAAAACTTTCATCATTCAACGCTTGCACCGTCACTCATACCTAATCACTGTCTTTGCAGAGGCGCTCACATATGACAGCTTAGACATCCTTCCAAACTGCCAATATCCCAAACCCCTCCTTTAAAGTGCAGGCATTGTATTAACCATTTCCAGGACTCAAGTCCGGCTAACTGGTTTCCTTGAATCCCTTCACAAAACATTACCCTGCTCACACTCCAACAGCTCATCAGGTCCCAAAAACCATTCGTCTCCACTCCTAACGCGCTCATGCATGCTTACTGGAAGTTCAAGCCCCTTACCCACAAAATTGTCTTTACCCCCTCCCTCCAACCTTTTTGAGGACAACCCCTACCCTGCCTTCCTACCCCTACAGATTTATATGCTCTCCAAGTCATTCTACTTTGTTCCATTCTCTCGAAATGACCAAACCACCTCAACAACCCCTCTTCAGCTCTCTAATACTTTCAGTAACTTCAAACCTCTTCCTAATTTCCATACTGAATTCTCTGCATAATATTTATAACACACATTGCTCTTAGACAGGATGTCTCCACTGCCTCCAGCCGCCTCCTCGCTGCAGCATTTACAACACATGTTGGTACACTATATTCTCATACATTCCCTTCTTTGCCTCCATGGATAATGTTTTTTGTCTCCACAGATACCTCAATGCACCACTCACCTTTTTTCCTTCATCAATTATGTGGTGAACCTCATCCTTCACAAACCCATCTGCTGACAAGTCAACTCCCAAATATCTGAAAACATTCGCTTCTTCCATACTCCCTCCAATGTGATATCCAATTTTTCTTTATCTAAATCGTTTGATACTCTCATCACCTTACTTTTATCTATGTTCACTTTCAATTTTATACCTTTACACACTCCCAAACTCATCCACTAACCTTTGCAACTTTTCTTTAGAATCCCCCAAAAGCACAGTATCATCAGCAAAAAGTAACTGTGTCAACTCCCATTTTGTATTTGATTCCCCATAGTTTAATCTCACCCCTCTCCCAAACACCCTAGCATTTATTTCTTTTACAACCCCACCTATATATATGTTGAATAACTATGGCAACATTACATATCTCTGTCTAAGACCTACTTTTACAGAGAAGTAGTCTCCCTCTCTCCTACACACCCTAACCCGAGCCTCACTATAATCATAATAACTCTTTACAGCATTAGTAACTTACTACCTATTCCATACACTTGCAACATCTGCCACATTGCTCCCCTATCCACTCTATCATATGACTTTTCTAAATCCATAAATTCAATGAAAACTTCCCTACCTTTATCTAAATACTGTTCACATACACATGTATGTTTCAGTGTAAACACTTACTCTACACATCCCCTACCCATTCTAAAGCCTCCTTGCTCATCTGCAATTCAGCACTCTGTCATCTAATTCTTTCAGTAATAACCCTACCATACACTTTACCTGGTATACTCAGTAAACTTATTCCCCTATAATTTTTACAATCTCTTTTGTCCCCTTTCCTTTTACATAAAGTAAATATACATGCTCTCTGCCAATCCCTAGGTACCTTCCCATCTTTCATGCATTTATTAAACAAAAATACCAACCACTCGTACACTACAGTATACGTCCACTTTGAAATAAGTCCAACTTGATATACGTCCTGTTTGGATGAAAAATTTTTTGCTTGGTATACAACCTTTGTTTGGAATACAACTCACATGGTAGAACTTGTATGGGTCAAAATGAGTCATGACACCACGGGCTACCCTTGTTTACCTCTCTCTCGAGACAGAGCCATGACTGCCCACTAGCATCAGTATGCCTGTTCCTACCATTCAGTGAACAACCTGAATTGTAACTCTCTGAATTTTCATGTGATTTTGTGTTTTTTCATATAAATTTTTAGTAAATTCATTAATCATGAGTTCTTAGAAAGTTAATGAGAAGAGCCAAGCAACAAAGAAAATGGTTAGGATCACCATGGAGGTGAAAAAAGAGATTGTTGAAAAGTATGAAAGTGGCATGGGTATCCAGGGCTTGGCTGCTGCATATCATATGCCGAGAACAACGGTATCTACAATTGTTAAAAACAAAATTGTTAAAATGTTATTAATTAAATTGGCTAATGCTGCAAAGGGGGTGAAATTGATTACCAAAGTTCAGGGACATTAGAGCATGTTGAAAAATTGCTTTTGATCTGGATAACAGAAAAACATTGCATAACTCTCATTGACAAAGCCTAGCAGGAACTTTCATACAGAACAATGAACTCTGCTTGGAGGAATTTGTGGCCAGAAACAGTGGCTGAAAGGGACTTTGAGGGCTTTGAGGCTGTCTGTAGTGGAGGATATTGTCTCACTGGGCAGGTCCATGGGTCTGGATGTGAGTGATGGTGATGTGGAGGAGTTAGTAGAGGGGCACAGGGGAGAGCTGACCAATGAGAAGCTGCAGGAACTTGAGAAGGAGTAGAACAAGACTAACATGGATGCATTCTCTTCAGGCTCGGAAGAGGAAACAGAGGAAGCCCCTACTTCATTAATTAAGGAAATCTTTGCCAAATGGATGGATGTCAAAAACTTTGCAGAGAAGTACCATGCCAACAAAGCCCAAACAAGCCATAATAGCATTATCTGGAATGACCAGACAATGTCACATTTCCAAAACATCCTGAGAAGAAGGCGGAGCAAAGTACTTTGGACAGATTTTTAGTAAAAGTCAAACCTGGTGAGCTTCAACCAGGTCTAAATAGGGAAAAGAGACAGAAAAGAGAAGGGGACTCTCCTTCCAAACAATAACATTTCCTCCTCCTCCCTTCTTAGCACTATCCTAGTAGCCACTCGGCTCTTTTCAACAAAGTAAAGTGAGGTTAAATTTGGATTTATTTCATCAAATTATTTTCTATTTATGTGTGTATTTTAGTACTAAGCAGTGTTTAAATTACATATTTTAGTATTAAGCAGTGTTTAAATTATTTTATACAACCCCATCAATGTATAATATGCCAATAACAATAGGATTTTTTTCATGGGAATGGATTAATCATTTTCTCTATATTTCTTATGGGAAAATTCATTTGGTATATGTCCTGTTTCGTATAAGTTCAAGGTCCTAGAACGGATTAAGGACGTATACCAAGGTACCTCTGTACTACATCTCTCCCCCTGCTTTTAACATTTCTGTCATGATCCCGTCAGTTCCAGCTGCTGTATCCCTTTTCATTCTACATAATGCCTCACACATCTCCCCACACTCACATCCTGCTCTTCTTCACTCCTAAAAGATGTTATACCTCCCTGGCCAGTGCATGAAATATAACAAATAATTTTTATTTTCTGATTTGGGCTTCAATTTTGAATACTGCTCAGGAATACCTGGCATCCCTCACTTTATGCCATGTATTTTCCAGGCCCACGGCATCAACACTTAATTCCACATAATCTAAAATACACCTTACAAACTGAACCAATCACATATAACTAATATGCATCAAACCTACAGAAATAGGGATAGGAATGGAACATTGCACAGTGGTGAATGTGCATAAAGTGAACCCACATGAAGTGAAGCAAAAGATGTTAAACTGAAAATTATACAGGTAAATAAATACTCAAACTGCTCTTGAATATTTATTTTATTTCCATTTAACATATGCAAGTTTACAAGCATAATAACCATGTCATTTTTTTTGGTTTTGCAAGAGACTGCGAACAAAACTTTCAGCTTCCCCTCGTTTGCTAAGTTTTGTTACCTTCCCGGTGAAGCGAGACTTTCCTCCACCTCGCCCTTCTAAAATCTCACACAACCTGTAAAGATTGCAACTCTAAACAGTCTATTTTCTACCTGTTTATCATTTAACATAATTTTAGCAATTTTAAAATGGTGTAGCAATACTGTCTCTTGCATTCTCTTGACAGCTGCTGGATTTTCAATACCAGAATGTGTAGAAGCACAATGACTTAAGGGATTAAGGATGAACAGTAGAAGACCTGGTATTAATGAAGTAAGGAAAGCGATTATGATAAGGAAACATGAGTTATGATGAAGATGCAAGTACAGTTTGTTAAAATTTATCATAACTGCAATAATACTATAATTATAGACTTCTAATACAGTACATAAAAATGAAAGTAATTTACAAAAGATGAATGTTACAGTAGGAAGATATTTACAAAATAATACAGTGTGTATTGCAAAAATGAATAATATCCCAAAACTTACCTTGGCCCCACTTCAGCAACAAAATCAGGTGGTCCGTGTACTACCAGTGATCCAGGACCTTTGTCTTCCCCAAGTGTCAACACTTTCGGCACACTCTGTCAAGGAAACACAAGCCTTATCTGTTATATTATCTCTGATCATGCCTATGAACCAGGACAGTATTCAAAACAATAAAAATGTGCAGGAGCCATTTACACTAGTTTTGCAGATCTTGTGCTTATGATTCAAGGGGTTAATAGAAGAGCCATGCAACTCAATGGAATAAGTTGTAGGTTACTAAAAGCAGTAGTTTTTAATGGAGATAGTAAGGCTCAGGTTGGTAGACAGCAACTGCCCAGGGAGGTACTACTATATTGCCAAGTGAGTCTAAAATGGAAACCTGTATTTGTTTTACATGATGGTAGGATTGTTGGTGTCTTTTTTGTGTCTCATAAACATGCAAGATTTCAGATACTTCTTGCTACTTCTATTTACACTTAGGTCACACTGCACATAAATGTACATGTTTAGGTATACACACTCATCTGAGTTTTCCTTGAGTGTATTTTAATAGTTCTTGTTCTTATTACTTTTCCTTTCATATCCATGGGGAAGTGTAATAAGAATCTTTACTCCATAAGCATGTGTGTTGTAAAAGTCAACTAAAATGCTGGGAGCAATGGGCTAGTAACCCATTTTCCTGTATAACTTACTAAAAAGAAAAGGGACAAAACCGTCAAAGTAGGATGTTTGAATGTGCGTGGATGTAGTGCATATGAAAAGAGAAGATTGTGGATGTTATGAATGAAAAGAAGCTGAATGTCCTGGCTCTAAGTGAAACAAAGTTGAAAGGGGTAGGAGAGTTTCAGTGGGGAGAAATAAATGGGATTAGGTCAGGGGTTTCTAATACAGCCTCTCCTCACTTAACGACGGAGTTCCGTTCCTAAGATCACATCGATGAACGAATACATCGCTAAGAGAGAAGCACACTATAATGATAGTGGGTTTCTGTCAACCATCTTTGATACTGATTTAATGTCACTTCTACACCATTTATAATATTTCTGGTATACAGTGGACCCCCGCATAACGATTACCTCCGAATGCGACCAATTATGTAAGTGTATTTATGTAAGTGCGTTTGTACGTGTATGTTTGGGGGTCTGAAATGGACTAATCTACTTCACAATATTTCTTATGGGAACAAATTCGGTCAGTACTGGCACCTGAACATACTTCTGGAGTGAAAAAATATCGTTAACCGGGGGTCCACTGTATTTTAAGATGTTTATATAGTAGTGTACAGTGGAACCCTGGTTTTTGTCAGGTCCGGTTAATGTACAATTCAATTCTTGACCACTTTTTTGGCAAAATTTTCTGTTTTCGTACATTTGCTCGGAAATCGTCTGTTCCAGACGCGTCCGCCTACCGGCGGGACACGGCCACTCATAGTTTGTGACTCAGTCTGCCTTTGTTATTCGTAGAGGGTAGTAAAGATGGTGGTAGAGGGTGGTAGTGGATGCCATGGTGATAGAGGGTGGTAGTGGATGCCATGGTGATAGAGGGTGGTAGAGGGTGTACTGATGGTGGTAGAGGGTGGTAGTGACTGTAGTAGAGGGTGGTAGTGGTAGAGGGTAGTAGTGATGGTAGTAGAGATAACCTCTCCTCTCTCTCCCCTACTCGCTGTCTTCCATACGCCAACAAGAGTCTTCAATAAAGGTAAAAGTGATTTAAATGTTCATTTATCCATTTCATTAGTGTTTTATATTTATTTCTCATTGCTTTCTGTATGTAAAACTATAGCTATTCTCTATAAAATGTATTTTTGTTAATATTTTTGGGTGTCTGGAACGGATTAACCCTTTGTCTGTTTCGGTCATATATATACGTCTTACGAGCCACTGTGTTTGACATACATGTATATATACTCATAAATTCTAGCGGCTTCAAATCAAGCAGGAGAAAGCTGGTAGGCCCACATGTGAGAGAATGGGTCTGTGTGGTCAGTGTGTGTGTGCAGTATAAAAAAATCCTGCAGCACGCAGTGCATAAAGAGAAAAAAAAACTCCGACCGTTTTTTTTTTTATGGTCTATTTTCGTTTAGTATTTATGGTTGTATTCTCGTTTTCTTGGTCTTATTTGATAGAATGGAAAACATATTATAGAAATAGTGGCGATTTTGATTGGTTTTACTATGAAGAGAACCTTGAATATGTTTGATTTTTGCCGATGTTCAAAAGTAAACAAATGATGTCATTTTCCAATAAATGTCCAAGTAGTCATTCTAATATGCAGTCATGAATGGGTTTACATTATTTATACAATTATTACCATATTGCAGTAGTCTGCATAACAGTAAATCTTCTATTTTTTGTTTGAATAAAAATTCAAAATAGAAAGCAAGAGTAATATCAGAGGGGCCTGGAGACGTGACTGATGAACAAAGAAAATGTTATTTTAGAGCCAGGAATGTCTGCATTGTTCATTCTGGACCCTATTTTGAACTTGTCATATTTTTTAATTTTCGTGAAATTGGCCAAATTGCAAATTTCTGACCATGTTATTGGGTTTACCTGGAGTTTACCTGGAGAGAGTTCCGGGGGTCAATGCCCCCGCGGCCTGGTCTGTGACCAGGCCTCCTGGTGGATCAGAGCCTGATCAACCAGGCTGTTGCTGCTGGCTGCACGCAAACCAACGTACGAGCCACAGCCCGGCTGATCAGGAACTGACTTTAGGTGCTTGTCCAGTCCAGGGTAGTTGAAATCGGTAAATGGACAGTTTCTTGTGCTCAATCGATAGAAAAAATGGAGTTCTAAAGAAATAGCTATGAGTTTGGAACAATGGAATTAGCCGAAAATAGGGCTCAAAGTGGGCGAAATTGCCGATTCGTAAATATTGCTGAGGTCGCTAACTTTGTGAGAGCATAATTCCATCAGTTTTCCATCAAATTTCATTCTTTTGGTGCCATTACAATCAGGAAAAGATTCTCTATTATTTCATAAGAATTTTTTTTTTTTTTTTTTTTTTTTTTTAAATTTTGTGACACCAGGAGACACCTCAGGATTTGGGGTTGCGACAGTAAAGGGGTTAACTGGGTTTACATTATTTCTTATGGGAAATATTACTTCAGTTTTCGTACAAATAGGTTTTCGGCCGACCTTCTGGAACGGATTAAAGACGAAAACCGGGGTTCCACTATACTGTATATTGTAATAACTCAGCTTTAATATACATTATTTAGGTATGCATACTGGTCAGAGCCCATCGTAAGTCCAAGTCGTTGGTAAACGAGTACGTCGCTAAATGTGGAGAGACTTTACTTAGAGCTAAGGAAGGAGTAGCAATAATGTTAAAGGATAAGTTATGGCAGAAAAAGAAGTAATATAAATGTATAAATTCAAGGATTATGTGGAGTAAAATAAGGGCCAGATGTGAAAAGTGGGTTATAGTAAGTGTTTATGCACCTGGAGAAGTAGAAAGTTGAAAGTGAACATAGAAAAGAGTAAGGTGATGAGGGTGTCAAATGATTTGGATAAAGAAAAATTGGATATCAAATTGGGGAGGAGGAGTATGGAAGAAGTGAATGTTTTCAGATACTTGGGAGTTGACGTGTCGGCGGATGGATTTATGAAGGATGAGGTTAATCATAGAATTGATGAGGGAAAAAAGGTGAGTGGTGCGTTGAGGTATATGTGGAGTCAAAAAACGTTATCTATGGAGGCAAAGAAGGGTATGTATGAAAGTATAGTAGTACCAACACTCTTATATGGGTGTGAAGCTTGGGTGGTAAATGCAGCAGCAAGGAGACGGTTGGAGGCAGTGGAGATGTCCTGTTTAAGGGCAATGTGTGGTGTAAATATTATGCAGAAAATTCGGAGTGTGGAAATTAGGAGAAGGTGTGGAGTTAATAAAAGTATTAGTCAGAGGGCAGAGGAGGGGTTGTTGAGGTGGTTTGGTCATTTAGAGAGAATGGATCAAAGTAGAATGACATGGAAAGCATATAAATCTATAGGGGAAGGAAGGCGGGGTAGGGGTCGTCCTCGAAAGGGTTGGAGAGAGGGGGTAAAGGAGGTTTTGTGGGTAAGGGGCTTGGACTTCCAGCAAGCGTGCGTGAGCGTGTTAGATAGGAGTGAATGGAGACGAATGGTACTTGGGACCTGACGATCTGTTGGAGTGTGAGCAGGGTAATATTTAGTGAAGGGATTCAGGGAAACCGGTTATTTTCATATAGTCGGACTTGAGTCCTGGAAATGGGAAGTACAATGCCTGCACTTTAAAGGAGGGGTTTGGGATATTGGCAGTTTGGAGGGATATGTTGTGTATCTTTATATGTGTATGCTTCTAGACTGTTGTATTCTGAGCACCCCTGCAAAAACAGTGATAATGTGCGAGTGTGGTGAAAGTGTTGAATGATGATGAAAGTATTTTCTTTTTGGGGATTTTCTTTCTTTTTTGGGTCACCCTGCCTCGGTGGGAGACGGCCGACTTGTTAAAAAAAAAAAAAAAAAAAAAAAATAAAAAAAGAAGCACTAAGCCACAAGGGCTATACAGCGCTGCAGGGTAGGGAAGGAAGCGAGGGTATTGGATGGCAGAAGGGAGGAGGGATGATCAGTAGGTTACAGAAAACAGCGGGGCAGGGGATAGTATGGGGGTAGAGGGTAGCAAGAGATTGAAGTAGAAAGGGCTGAAGGTATCAGAATTTGTGAAGTAAGTCAGATGTTGTCAAAAAGTCAATGAGAGAGTCCGGATGAAAGGTGGGTCCATCAGCGAGAAGGGAAGGTAAAGAGAGAGCAGTGGAGCGAAGACGACGATGGAGGTAAATTCTGCGTGCTCGTTGATAAAGTGGGCAGTCCAACAGAATGTGGCTGACTGATAATGGAGCTTGGCAATTCTCACAGAGAGGAGCAGGGCGCCTCTCCATGAGATATCCATGAGTAAGACGAGTATGGCCAATGCGAAGACGGGAGAGAGTAGTCTCCCAACCTCGACACTGGTGATAAGAAGACGGCCAGTAACCTATGCTTGGTTTAATAGATTGAAGTTTGTTGCCGAGCATAGTAGATCAACGGTGTTGCCAACGGGTGTGAAGGTGGGAAGATATTGCAGCAAAATAGTC